CCAGCATGGAGTCTGGGTCCAGCTCCCTGCAGCAGTGAGTGTTGACTGCCCAAATCTCTGAAGCTATCTGAATCTTTTCCAGCTTCAAATTAATTTGGAACTTTTTATTGGTTTCCTGATTCGATTTGGATTTGGAGATTCGGCTGCCAAATTGGGTCAAATCTGTTCCAAATTGAATCAGCATCTGAAGCGTTGCACAGCCCTACTGAGCATGCTGTTCTGAGTAGCCAGGAATGCTTGGTGGAGAGGAGAGGATACATGTGTATTGGATAGGAGAGCTCCTTTGCCCTTAATGTAGGGTAAAATACTGAATAACATAGAAGTAGTGATCTCACTTAAAGCCAAACTTTCAGGAGCAGCCACTGATTACTTGTTTTAGGATGTTCAGCTTTAGATGCCATGGGATGGCTCTTGGAACTGCAAGTGCTATTTTTTAAAACAAACGCATCTCAGAGCAATATAAAGTGTTGACCTGAACATCTGTTCTGCAAAATTCTTCCCTATGTAGTAAAAATACAAAGCATGCCACTAGATATGTGACAAGAAAAGATCTCTGCCTCAGATGGGTGCCCTCTAAATAAGCCTGTCAATTAAACACCTGCCTTAATTAAAAAAAACCCAACAAAACAAACCTAAACTAAAATGGGGATATTTAACCTTAGCCCACCTACCAGTAGTTTTGCGAGGCTAAATACATTTGTGTTTATAAAATGCATTGAGATATCAAATGGAAGGTGGTATAAGTGAGGTGGGTTGGTAACTGGCTCAGCAGCTGATCCCAGCGAGTGCTAATTGATAGGGTGACTTCATCTGGAGGGCTGTCTCCAGTGGTGTTTCTCAGGGATCAGTGCTTGGGCCTGTGCTCTTTAACATCTTTATCAATGACTTGGATGAGGGAATGAAAAGTGCAATGAGTAAGTTCGTGGATGACACCAAGCTGTGGAGACAAGCAGGCACATCTGAGGACACAACAAAGATCCAGGATGATTTTGACAGGCTGGTCCTATGGGGTGAATGCAATCAGAGGTTCAACAGGGACAAGTGCCAAGTCTTTCATCTGGGAAGAATGAACCCTCACCATACCTATACAATGGGTGGTGGTCCACTGGCTGGCACTGCATCTGAAAGAGACATGGGGGTGACAATTGACCAGAGGATGAATATGAGCTGCCAGTGTGATGAAGTCGCCAACAGAGAAAATAAAACCCTGACATGCATCAGCAGATGTGTCGCCAATAGATCCAGAAAGGTGCTTCTCCCCCTCTACTCAACATTAGTGGGTGCATCCAGATGAGTCCACACGTGCTTCTTGGTGCATCTCAAACCCATTTGAGGTGCTGCAAGAGGCATGTGCAGTAACAAGAAAATGTTTCCCACGCTGCAAGTTTGCATTGTGGGGGCAAAATTAGACCCCTGGATATCCAAGGGTCAAAAAAACCCACACAGAAAAAAAGCAGGGCAGGGCATGGTCCCAGACCGTGCTGTGAGGTAACCGGAGGCTGGGTCCTCCATAGAGATGCTCTGGCTGCCACAGCATCTCTATGGTTAGCCCTCTCCCTGGTGCAAGCAGGGAGCTGGATCCAGGCTCCACTGCCACTAAGTAAGGGGTCGGGAGGCTGGAGAAGGGGGTAGGGGACCATGGGGGGGGGCCCTGTCAGC